ATAGTAAATATTTTACTATCAGCAGTTTCTGAATGGAATGGGAAGCCTCTGTACTGAGTGCTTCCCATTCATTGAGTGCTGAGGCTGCAGAAAAAGAAATTGAGGATTTGGTGTCCTCAATTTCTTTTTCTATTTCAAAAGGGAAATGTCAGGGGTCTGTTTAGACCCCAGAGATTTCACCGTAGCCCCCCCAACAGTAAAAAAAATACAAAATAAAAAAAAAATGTTAAAAAAACAAAATTTTTTTTTTTAAAAATACAATGTGTAAAAAAAAAACTAATAAAAAAAAGCACAACCCCTCCCTCCCCCCACATATTGTGGTGCACACCATGCACATGCGCTGCAGTGCGTTGTTAGAACGCATCACAGTGCATGATCTTTTTTATTTATTTATTTTCTTTTTAAAAAAACCATTAAATTAACTGTGGCCATCATCACAAAAACAGAAAGTGATGGCGGATACCAAATGTTGTGTTTGCCTCCGATACAATAGGTAGGGGAACATCTTCCAATCACCTACTCCCATGACATCTGTCTAAAAGGGTCTTTAAGAGATTTCCATTCACTTATTTTAGTGCCTCTGGGATAGGAAGTGAAATAATCACAAACACACAAAAGAATGTTAAGTTGAGGAAGAGAGGCTTCACAACAAAGCAAGCATTAGACCAACTGACATCAGACGTCTAAATACTGTCAACTTTCAACCTGGCGGATCTTAGGGCATTAAAACAAGAAACTATTCAAGGTCAACAGAAGCAGATGCATGCTGAAACAAGGTTGCCCTGCTGAGTATTCAGTGATAGCTGTTGTTAGCTCAGTTACTATAGCAAACTATGAATCATACATTTATGTCGCATGACTAAGAGCTGTCCAAAAAAAAGGCAATATGATCTCAGCAGCCGCAGAATCCACACAACTGATCAGAAAGAGTGGCTTTGGAGAGCTCTGTAAAGGACATTATGCTAGATTGCTGCCCCTATCGCAGGCCTCTTTAGAAACATCCAGTGATGCTCAGAGTGAGCGCAAAAAGAAACAAACATGTTTTGCAGGCAGCAAGCGCACTGTCTGGTGGGGCTATTTTTTTTGTCTAAGCTCTGGTGACAGTTCGCTGTCAGAGAGGAGGGGGAGTAGAAGCATTGCTCTCACAGCCAAAGTGTAACCTATAAAACATACAAATCCCAGGGGGATGTTTACGCTTGGTACTGGCTTTATGAGAAAAAAAAAAACAGGGACAGGTTTCCGATTCTCAGCAATTAAAACGATTTTCTAGACATTTCTTCGACTAACTGTACATTATTTATCAGAACAGGGCAAATGTTATAAATAGCATGCCTACGCTGCCTCATCGTGGATTAGGCTCTATCCCCCCCGGGGGTTACTTGTTCCCCCGATTGGGGACAGCTGCTTTGTAATACTAGGCTCTATCCCCTCCCCCCGGGGGTACTTGCAGCCCAGGTTGGGGAGTGCTGCTCTATAATATTGGGGTCTATTTCCCCCCACAGGGGTACCTGTAGCCCAGGTTGGGGACCACTGCTCTGCAAGCACGCACTATTTTGAACGCACCGCACGGAACGCACTGCAGGCACAATGTGCCTTGCGATTCCCGTGCGGGCGACCGCATTGCGGCCGCAGGGCGTGGCTACGGTGCCATTGATATCAGTGGCCCGCCATGCCCCCTCCTGTCCAGCACTGCCTATGGTGTGAACGAACCCTCAGGGGCAGGGCCCTTTTTACCATCTTATCTTGAATTGTATTGTGATTGTAATGTCTTCCTTATATTGTAAAGTGCTGCGCAAACTATTGGCGCTATATAAATCCTGTATAATAATAATTATAATATTATTAATGACAGAAATGGTGTCTTGTTGGGGTGAAAATATATCTACCTGCCTCAAAACAAACCTGAAATGATATGAAATAATGGCCTATACTTGAATGAACTGTTATCCATGTACAAGTTGTACAACTAACATGATATATATGTTGTGGCAATAAAACTGCTACAGTGACAAAGAACAATGCAGGGAGTCCGATATCGGAACCATATGATCCAATTGTTATCTTATACTTTCTCTCCTGTGATACAATAAAAACATCTGATTACGTTTACAGTGTAGCTGTAGGGGGGCAGGTTAGTTTTTGTTTTGATTGTATTTTCAAAGCAAACTGTATAAATAAAAATATAAAAGTGAGAAACTTACAGCATATCTGGACAGTTGTCTGGCTTCTCTAAGAGTCCGCCTTCCATAACAAAGCGGAGAACCTGCTCATTGGACATGCCATGGTATGGCTGTTCTGCCAGGGTGGCGATCTCCCATAAGACAACGCCAAAAGACCTGCAGTTGAAAAACAAATACTTAAATCTGAACTCCAGCCTTACCTTTTGTCATAAAGTTGTACCGACTCCTTCCTGGACAGAAATTGCTTACTCTTACATTACTGCACACTATGAGCTGTGAAAAATGCACACCGGAAGCTGCAACAAGTCAGATTAGAGCCCGCCTTGCTTCCTGGCTGGAGAACATCCAGCATCATCTAGCTCCTTCTTCTCCAACCTTACCATCCCTGATGCTGCCCTTTTATTCATTGGATTTCAGTTTCTTCCATCATGGAGGCTCAGCATCATATCCAGACTAACATCCACCTAAGGTATCAAGACATTTTGATATTTGCATAACTCCACCTAAGATCCAGCCCACTGCTTGCATCAGGACAAAGGGCTCTTGAGATAAATAATAAGGCAGGGTGCTGTGATTTCCTCAGCAAGCTATGTACAGCACCCTGCCGACCCTCCCACTAGCCATGAGCTGCCTGCATTGCACCGAGACCCAAGTAAGACATCACTGGGTCTAAAATAATATGTAATGGAGACAGAAAAGGGTTTTATTTAATAACAAAAACAACATTTAGCAGGTTGATGGAGGGGGAATGGACCAGAGAAGGCAAAATATAAGTAGATAAAACATCAGCTTTAAGCAAAGTCAACAAAAAGAAAATCCTACACAGTCGGACAAGTGCATTTTGTTTTGTGGTCTTTTTTTCTGCCAATTTTTAAGTTTGTGATCCATAAAGACCTGGACCTGATGTATGAAATGTGATTTAACAGGCACACACCTTGCTCCCCATAATAACCAGATTTTGGATTTTATTTTTAATATTAGACAGAAGAAAGTTGCTGCCATGGGCACACTTTTCATACCGTAGAGCCAAGGCGGCCATCTTGCTGACATTTACAAGCACTGTTGTGGTGGACACACAATGAGGTTGATTTACGAATGGTATAGAGACTGACCACTTAGCAAAGTGACCCCTCACCTTTTTTTTTTATTTCCAATCGTACACTAATGGGGGTTCACAGTGAACACAGACATATCTTATATACTTTGCCAAGTGAACAGCTCCCCTTCCTTTGATAAATCCACCCGTGGTGACAGATATATGGAACCACTAAAAGGCTGATGGAAATGCCATCCGTTTTACCTGCCAGATGCAAGCAGGAAGTACTAGTGTCAATCTGGTCTTATAGGATTTCTTTTTTTTTTTTTAGGTCCAAGAACAGACAATTCTGCCACAGCGCCTTCCTCCACCCAGCTAGCCTTGACTTTTGTAACTGAATAACTCAGCTGTATCTAATCTACAATATCAGAACACATTAGATATCACTAATTACCAGACATCAGAGTGAATGGTGAAGACTCCATCCTTGAGTGACTCTGGAGACATCCAGCGCACCGGAAGGAGACCTTTCCCTCCCTTACGATAATAGTCTGTCTCATAGATGTCTCGGGTCATTCCAAAGTCTGAGGAGAAAACAAAAACAATGATTAGAAAAAATTAACATGCAATTCCCAGTGCAGTTTGGGACAGCAACTTGTTCGGCTTCAACCAGAAGCACATAGATTACCTGTGAACAATATTCATACAATAACCAAGACTTGACACCAGGAGTTAACATTTATGTATGTATAGATAGATGATATACCTATTATCAATGTGTCCAACCACCAAGAATATTAGACCTCAAGGTAACCTTGTGATCTCTCCCCCATGCCTAGCACTTTGCTTGTTCTTGACTGCCAATGCTCAGCTAATGATCGAACTGTTAAAAGGCACATAGGGACCATCTTGCTAGAGGAATATGTCTGTAAGTAATGAAGACTGCCATCCCACATAATAGACGTGATTCAGAGCTTTAACACAAAGATAAGGATCTTTATTTTAACCATGTGACCGTAATTTGGAATGTCATTAAACTCGGCTTAAAACAAGGATTCTTATCCTCATCTATTAGCTTCATGAATTGAGCCTGAGTGAAGGGGAGCAGCTGAAACATGTGCACTCAGAATATGCTAACAAAATATGGTATGATGGAAACCGTAATTACATTTGCTGCTGGTTTTTTTGATTGGACAGATATTGTAGCAATGGTTTATTGTATTCAGAAAGTAAAAAAATCTACCTGTAAATGTAAACATTTCACAATTTATAGTTACTAACTCAATTAAATTGATCAGAAGTGAGCTGCACAATTAGACATTTACAGCAAAAAGGAATACATTTCCCATAACGACTAATCAGATCCTGCTCTCCATTTTCCAACTTCCACTGAAGAGACGGAAAAAAAAAGTTGCCATGGGCAACACAGACTTTCATATGCAAGACTCTATGTGACAGATGTATTATCCTAGTTTATGTTGCAATCCTAAATGTATTGGAATTGTATTGCTAACTGTATTGTCTCCCTCCCTTTTGTAAAGTGCTGCACAAACTGTTGGCGCTATACAAGTCCTGTAAAAAAAATAATAATAATGCCTTCATAAAGAGAACTGTCTTTAAATTGTCACAAACCTCCAAGAGGACAGCTGAATAGCCCAGAAGTACTAAGCTGACTTGAGGATATGAAGCTGAATGATCTTTGCAATACTTTAAGAAGTGTTTAGGAGGACTTCTAGGCTGTTCCAACACTTGAGGGTTTTTTAATGTCACTACTGCTGGACACATTTACTGCACAGATAAGAAATTATGCAAACGTGCAGAACTCAATAAGAAAATGATTTGGGTTTTGTTTGTTTTATGTATAAAACAGGTGTATTATAGTTGTTCATTATATTAACTGAGGTGACATGTCACCAGGAATACCATTATTATTATACAGGATTTATATAGCGCCAACAGTCTGTGCGGTGCTTTACAATATAAGGAAGACATTACAATTACAATACAATTCAAGACAAGATGGCAAGGAGGGCCCTGCCCGTGAGGGCTTACAATCTAAAAGGGAGGGGCAAGTGATACATGAGGAGGTAGCAGGGTGGGCACAAATTGTTTGAGAACGTGATGGTTGAGTAGTTAGGTTGAGGTGGGATAGGCTTCCCTGAAGAGATGAGTCTTAAGGGATCGCCTAAAGGCAGTCAGAGTGGGAGATAGTCAGACAGGTTGGGGTGAAGAGTTTCAGAGGCTGGGAGAGACTCTAGAGAAGCACTGGAGGCGAGCATGAGAGGAGTTGATGAGGGAGCTGGAAAGCTGGAGGGTTTTGTAAGAGAGCGTAGTGGAGAGTTAGGGTGATACCTTGAGACAAGGTTTGAGATATGTAAAACAAGAAAGAAAGAACGGCGCCTTCTCCTCATATAATACCGTTGCTCTTTCTTTCTTGTTTTACATGTACCTTGAGGGTTCCCAACTTGACATCGAACAGCAACCCCCCAATATGCCATGTATTGATGTCCTTTCCTGGAAATCCCGCCCGGGATTAATTTATGGTGACCTCCACTAAACGCTGACTATTTGGATAATACAAGGTTTGAGACATGGCCGGGGGCAGAGTTGTGGATGGCTTTGTAAGTCGTTAATATTTTGAATTTTATCCTTTGGGCTATTGGAAGCCAGTGGAGGGATTGGCAGAGGGGGGTTGCGGTTGCAGACACTGAGCGGTTGGTTAGGTGAATGAGTCTAGCAACAGCATTCATGATAGACTGAGGGGGGGATAGCCTTGGTAGAGGTAGGCCAATGAGGAGGGAGTTGCAATAGTTAAGACGAGATATAACAAGTGAGTGGATGAGTAATTTTGAGGTTTCATTGGTGAGGAAGGGGCGTATTTTGGAGATGTTACGAAAGTGAAGATGGCAGGATTTGGATAGGGATTGGATGTGGATGAAACCTAGCACCTTGGCATTGGGGGATGGTTGGATAGTTGTGTTATCAATATCAAGTGAAAAGTTGGGGGAAGGTGCGAGGGGGGCGGGAGGAAATATCATGAGCTCAGTTTTTGAAAGGTTGAGTTTTAAGAAGTGTTGTGGCATCCAGACTGATATGTCAGTTAGTAGATTAGAGACACGCAAGGACACTGAGGGGGAGAGTTGTGGAGTAGAAAGATATATTTGAGTGTCATCGGCATAGAGATGGTATTGGAAGCCAAGTGAGGTTATTAACTGGCCAAGGGAGGAGGTGTAGATAGAGAAGAGAAGGGGTCCAAGGACAGAGCCATGGGGGACCCCTACAGAAAGATGAAGAGGAGGGGAGGAGTTATATTTGTAGGTGACACTAAAGGAGCGCTTAGATAGGTAGAAACATGAGAGAGCAGAGTCTTGTAGGCCAAGCGAGTGGAGTTGTTTGAGGAGGAGCAGGTGGTCAACAGTGTCAAAAGCAGCAGAAAGGTATAATAGCAAGAGTAAGGAGTAGTGGCCATTGTTTTTAGCTGTTAGTAAGTAATTAGTGAGTTCTAGGAGGGCGGTTTCAGTGGAGTGTGGGGGGCGAAAGCCGGACTGTAAGGGATCGAGAAGGTTGTCCGATCCCTTACAGTCACACGGAGTTGAGTGTTTAGGATATCACATCCAGCTGTACCTCCAATTTTCACTGCGTAGTCTTCTGCGACCATACAGTTCCTGGCAGCAAGGTCTCTGTGAACAAATTTGTTTGCATTGAGGTATGCCATCCCATCTGCAATCTCTCCTGCCATCTGGATCATCTTCTTCAGGGAGGGGGGAGGTTGCCCAGGTTTGTTCTAGATTGGAAGAATAATAAAAACGGTCACCTGATTATAATCACAGCTTTTAATGAGACTGCAGCACCTAAGAAAGACCTGACGTTGGTAAATCACTTTGGACATTAGGAGGCATTGTGAGACATTGCAGGCGCAAGTGTCACACATTATTTACTATGACAATGGAAAACTAATAAAGACGATATAAAAACTGCACTAACTTACATTAACACACAAACACCTTTCTCAAAAAAATGATGTATAACAAAGATCATAGAACATGATGTTTTTTCTAACTCTAAATGGTTAAAGCTACTATGAAAACAGATTTTGCTGTGGAGTAAGTGGACATATCCATTTAAACTGAATATGCCAGTCTGGTACCCAATCCAATAGCCTCTTGCATATTGTATATGCCTAATGCACTGCAATGAGAACAGGCAAAAGACACAAGGCTGCACAGAAACCCATGCACCATTTGGACATACAGTGATAAACAATGGGTCATGTTATGATTGAAGATCATTTTTGGTCACTTCACCACTGCAAAGTGAACAGCAAATATGCATCCTGCATAGTTTCTAAAGATGAGCTTCTTTGCTTGGTGAGGCAGGGAATCCAACATCCAACAACGGTTGGGTTGTGAGCCAAATATTTATTTAAACAAAATCTGTACAAAAAAAAAAAACGTAGGCTGGCATTGCCATTCTCTTACGGCTTTAATGCTTCCAGTGTCAATATGTGAGGGACTCTGAAGACACTAGATTAGAATGATAGCCAGGCACGTAGCATTTCCAGGAGTGGTCAGCAATGGCAGCCTATGAAATCTACTCCATATAGGTTTGATTTAAGTGAACAGACTTTGTGCTTCGAATCTCAATATCTATTTCTGCTGGAATAATGGAGTAATGGAAAAGGTTCACTTCAATTTGCATCTTCTATTGTGTGCAAAATGCCGAGCAGACAATAAGAGCAGTGTTACTTAAATACTTTATAGGAAGAAGAAAAAAAAATGTTCAGACTCGACTGCCAGTGATTTTTTTTTCTTTTTAAAATCAAGGCCGTTGGGAGGCAGCCTGTCATTACACTGACCAAAGCGTCTACTTAGTGGGAACACTGCATGCTCTGGACCCTGCCACATCAAGTGACTATACAAAGTGAAACACCACTTATGGATCAGGCAGCTATTTTGAGGAGGAGGAAATATAAACAACTTTTATTAAAGCTGACCTATACTCAAATATTAACAGTCTTGCTTCAATAAATAAAAATCAACAGGAAGGCTGAAATACGCATCTATCATGAGGATAGGGCTGCTCCTGGGTCCCTGAAACGTTGTACATATGACCAATAGCCTAGGCATTTGATCTCACCATCAGAAGTCCCCTGACCAAATTGCTTTGGGTCTTGTGATCAATACTGGTGGGAGCTTGATTTAAAAAATCTCCTGGATGGTGGTACTTCAGGCCTTGCATTACTCTCATCTATTGAAGCAAGACTGCTAATATAGTTTTAACATTTGAGTATAGGTCAATTTTAAACTAAATTCCAATAGAAAATTGAATAGATTTCCCTGCAGAGAATGTTAATAGCCCCAAAATAATCAGTCACTACATGTCCAGTAGGTTGTATTTTCATTTACCAGATAACCTTCTGTAGCTGTAATTGTAGCAAAGTCCAAAATGTCTGATTAACCCTTAGGGCGGGTTCACATCATATACCGTGCGTTTCAGCACGGGTAGTGGCCGAGATGCACTGGATTGCATAAAGCAAGCCTCCCGCGTTCTGATGCAGGAGGGGGTGTGGTGGTGCCATTAGTGTCAATGGCACCGCAAACATAACTCTGCCCACAGTGCGTTTGCCCGCACCAGAACGTATGGTATAGCACTGCCCTGTGCTTCAGTGCGATCGCAAAAATAGTGAATGCAGATTCATTTGTTGGCAAGGACATTCAAAGAATATCAAAAAGTCACCACACAACTGAAGTCAGTTTTTCAGACTAAAACTAATTTGTTAGTTCAACTGATGAGTGGACTACTGGTTTACCATGTTGTCTGACTTGACTACCTATAAGCAAAGTAAACTGATTAGCATGGAGTAATTAAAGTAAGGCACAAACTGATCTCAACTCTCCGTACATTATCTCTAAGGCCCCTTTCACACTGGTGCCGTCCTTTCAAATCAGCATGGGATCCATGCACGGATCCCTTGCTGATTGGAGCAGAATGGAACAGATGTCACCCTTGTGACATCTGTATCTGTTTAGTTTCTTCCTCCAGTGATGGAGAGAAAAAAAAAAAAAAGAGCTATATGGACCCATGTTAGGTGTATGGGGAGTGAGATGTAGGCAGACATGGGTCCGTTTACATCATATTACCTCAGGTCCATCACAATCAGGTCCACCAAAACAGAAAACAGAACTCTGTCCCATTTATCTTTCTGGACAGATTTTGAGGTAATCAAATGAAATCGGACGCATGTCTGTTTAGATCTGCCTGTCCTTAAAGTAACATCCGGCTTCTGATCAGATCCACCTGAAAACTTAAAGGTCGACCTGATTAGCCAGCCAGTGTAAAAGGGGCCTCTGATGGAAGCCCCAACTCTCTGACATTTGAGCGGCATACTACTGCTCGGCAACAGGAGTCTCAGCAGAAAGAAGGCTGAATGGGTTTAGTGTGACCACCCTAGAACTAGTATGCAGCTCAGAACCCTGAGGAATGACCACCTATGGCAGATATGTCAGAGAAAGCCATCTAGCTTCTTATTCAGTTTTTGATATAATGGAGAAGGAATAGGATCCATGTCATGTTTCTCAAAATTTTCCCTAGTTACTACGCATCAAGGTGACAATGTCTTAACTCTGCCCTATTCTATCTGAAATTAGAAAACAGATAAAAAAAGGTTTGCCTGGAATAACATATTATGCAATGACTTCCACATAAACACTGCACAGACTGAAGGGGTGGAATCCCAAGTCCTTGAATATTTAATCCACATTTTTAAAACAAACAGTATTTAAGACTTTCTAGTAAACACATATTTAAGGTTCACTACAACACAAATTGCCTCATGCATCCGCATTCACAAAACTGTAGGCAGAAGTTCCCATATCTTGGCATCCAAAATGTTACGTTCTTTAACATCTGCTGTTTTGCTGAGTGAAACATATTCTTTGTATTATCAACCACTCCAGGCTAGGGTGAGGCTGTCTTCAGTGTCCTTCAATAAACTAACTTGACAGGAAGTCAGCTGTTTGCACCAAATAACATTTCTCAAGGCTAAATCCTGCCTCCTAAAAAATATGGATTGATAAACCTCATCTACAATTCTTATATATGCGCTAGATTCAAGTTTACTTTAATTGTCCTTTAACATTGGCTAGTTCATGCAGTTGTAAAGCTCTGCCCCCATATATAAACAATCATAGTGCCCTGTGACACAAAAATACCAGTCTTAATGGTTTATAAAAAATTGCCACTGAAAGCACACACGCATTGCTTGTTTTCAGTATCAACAAGTTGTGGAATAAACATACAGTAAGAATTTTTCTTATTATCGTTATTATTTTATTAGATCCAATTTAATAAAGTACCTATTAAAGTGGACCTTTACCCATATCTATAAAATGACAACAAACACACCTTTAGAAATGTTTAGTAATGACAATCTACACACACATACTTCTAGATAATTGCCGGCTTTGTATACCTTATTTCTCTTTTCTCCCCCAGTCTTCTGACAGTGGTCATGTTAACTAAGGCAGATTACTAGCTCTCCCTTTACTTCCTGGAACTCTGGCACATGTGACTAATGGCACATGTGACTTGGACATGCACATCATCTCAAAGGAGGAAAATGCCTTTCCCTGAGATCTCATGAGATTACAGATGAGATTTCCCAGCAATGCTCTGCCGATGTAACCTTCCCAGGATGCAATGCTTTGACACATTACATCATTTGTGCCAGAAGTGGACCAGGTAATAGATGAACTCTATTTGTGAGTAAATGAAAAACAAGTTTAACTAATGAATGCAAGAGCTTCATGCTGATGTGATTTTAAGTTAAAGTGGGTAAAGGTCCACTCTAGTTTGAATCTTTGCTTTCATTCTTACAAGTCAAGTTAAAAAAAGGACAAGTGCACCATGGTTGAACAGGGCAAGGCAAACAGTTCTATAGGACACATCAGTGCATAAAACTTTAATGGCCACACAATTCATACAGAGGTAACAAACTAAATACTAGAGGACACAAAAAAGCAGCTCCCACTACATGGCAATACTAGAGTCATTCGCAACCCTTAGGTCAAATCGTCATGGGCAGTGGATGCAGAAAACTATCCAGAGCCCATGTTATTTCAGTTGTGAACACTGCGCAGGTGGGCAGTCCAGGTGGAGGCAGCAAATTAAGTGAAAGCGATAGTGCAGTGTCTGACAAACATGGAAGGGTTTCAGTCCTGGTGGTTGGGGGAGCTTGGAAGGCATTATTAAAGCCAGTCAAGGATGCCCTTTGAAACTCATGTGAACAAAGCCATAACATGGTGCTTTCAAAGCATAACCTTTATCCATGTACAAGAATAAAAGAATCATCCCATTCAGCTGCACATAACCACAGAACTAAATGAAGCATTGTTTATGATATATTGATTATTAAGCAGCTAAAGTGACATATTAAGCAGATGCCTGGCAACCAAGCCATAAAAAAAAACTAGATTCTTATAAGTCTGTTTTACAGCCAGCCTACGCTATAAACATTGGAATTTAGAATGCGGGTGATGGCAGGGCCACAACAAGAGCAGTTCTTGGAATTTGGAAGTTGCTTTCTTGGACACTGGAATGCAGATAGGCAGTCTTGGGTCTAACTAATGTTGCCATTTAACCTCCTCACAATGGTACCTGGCACCAAGATGATTTATTGTCTGGGAAGAGGTAACCATGGAATGCAGAGAATGAGCCTAGATATAATCAATCCTTGAATAATCAATCAACTCCAAGCAAAGTTTGGAGGTAGACTTTACACAATTGATAGATCAGATGCACTAATTGGGTTACCAGTATCAGTATCTTGCTATTAGATGATGTAACAGATATCTAGTATAGGATACTGGAGAGATCCAGCAACCAAGTTCTGACTTCCCTGAAATTGCTTTCCCAGAGCTGAACCAATAATAAAAAGGAGTCTCTAGCTTACAAAGCACACCACCGCTGATTTGTGTACAGGAAGAAACGTTGCTAAGCCCCACTGGAGCAATGACGAGTGCGTACTGCCATCAGTGTCATCCCAATACTGCTGTGGTGCCGTCACAATCCCAACTTCTTTACAACTATTGGTAGTATTTATAAGTTATAGAAGATTATATATTTTCACTGGTAACAATTTTATTGAGCAATTCTTTGATTAGTAAACATTTAAAACGGAAACAAATGCCTTCTACTTAACCAGAGAGGATAAATACTAACCAAAAGGCTGGTGGAAAGGCTCTGCTGATGTACGTGTTAGCACAATTGGAATAGACAGTAGATCAGACCTTTCTGCTCATATTACCCTCTTGATTTCATTTCCTTTCTCAATCTAAACCAGAAGCCTTTGTTCCTTATTCTTAGCCGACAGCTCCTCTAACCCCTTCCTGTTTACTTCCACCTGCACCACTGAAATGTCTTTAAATAGCTGTGCTCCAGATGTAACACACAGTTGACCTCCTGGGCCAGCTTGCAATCAATAATCAAGAGGGAATCTTTGAGTAAGAACATGCCGGAGAGAAGTGTATGGGCATATAAGCTGAAAGTAACTTCATCGTTTCAGGATGCTTTTCATAATTATCACTAATCTTCCCGTGATAAAGGAAATATTAATTGCATCTATTGTTTTTTCTATTATAAAGAGTTAAAATAAAGCCACCTGGCCAAACAAATACTCAAAGACCACTGTAATCCTTAAGTGCAGGTACCATGAGGTGCCTGAAAGTACTTGCGTTTAACTTCACAGTGATTATTGGTGATCAACTTAGGGTTAGGCTTCACACACATCAACTTCTCTCCAAACCAAGATTAAGCCACAAAATCCCCCCTGCAAACTGTGAAATGTAAGCGTGTAAGTAGACAGTAGAGGCTATGACATTGACCGTTGAATCATGGGAGTTGGAGTTTCATCTTAACTTGTACAGCCTGGGTCTAAGTACAGGGGGGCATCCACTGAAAGACAAACATGGCTACTGCAGGCAACGTGCCTGCACTTCACACCGATGTTATCATAGACACTTTTATTTCTAGGTCATGGTCACTTTAAAAAAAACAAAAAACTATAGGATTACAACATCTCTTATTCAGAGTGAGACCAGTGAAATTACTTGCTTTACAGTAACCTCTGTGCCCGTAATTCAGTATGCAAAGTTTGTGTCCCATGATGCTTCTGCTTTCAGCAAGCCAGAGTCTGTTACTGGCCTAAAACATGTTTATGTCTATAACTGGATGCAAATCAGTAGGCAGAAGCATGCCAAAACCCAAACTATGCAACTTAAAATCTCCGGACTGGGGGCATGGAGACAAATGGAAAGCACATAATTTCACTCACCACCCCCCAATTCTGAAGGTCTCCTTTAAAGTGAACCTGCCAATGTTTTCTATATTTTCGAAGTAAATCTATTGCCTTGAATTATACTCATTTTCAAAGCCTTTATTAATCTTCTATGAACAGGGCGACTGCTCACCTTGGAAATGGACTCTGCCTGACCATGACATCCTTACCGATTCCCCCATTCCCAGAAGTATAAATGAAGGAAAGGTGAACATGTGAAGCTGGGCGGGCAGGCAGTAAAGTGAACCTGCTGCCTTGCCCTGCATGGATAAAGCAGAGGTTCCAAGTCTTATAGGTCCCCTATTTATTAAATTAATTTTCAAGGTTTATAGAAACACACCCCTTACCCCTTAAATACTGTCAGCAGACATAAACCTACAATTAGCAAATGCTCCATCCTCTACAAAGTACTAGAAAGTATTACTAACCTCAGCATCCGGCCTTAGTGATCTCAGGTAACTTTTGAGGTCTCCACGAGTCATTAACTCCATGATGACAAGTGTTGGCTGACCTTGGGAAACAACACCTAATAGACGGACCTAGAGGAAGAAACAATTCATCAGAGGATAGATACCCCAGTATGGTTTTATTTGTAGCTTACAGACACATAAAATATTATATTACAGAGCACATCTAGAGTACTTACCACGTGATGGCAGTTAAATTCTTTCATCACCGAAGCTTCGTTTAAGAACTCTATTCTCTCTCGCATGCTAGCTGCTTCATTCACTGTCTTTATGGCTACCCTAGTCTCTGTCTCATCTTTTACTACCCCTTTCGCAATTCCTTCATACACCATGCCAAATGAGCCTTGCCCCAGCTCACGGTTCATGATTATCTTCTCTCGAGGAACCTCCCACTCATCGGGCACATACACTGTAAAAGAAGAATGAACAGGGTTATCTATTTTATAGGTGCTGATATAACTGTAGATCAACAAACGTCAAGTACTTCATAACTATATAGTACCTACAAAAGTTACATTTATGATCAGATAAAAATCCTCAATCTTTATTTGTGGTAAAATATTTTTTTCTGAAACTTCTAGGGAACAGAGGTTAATAAGATATTATGAACTGATAATGTGCCCTGAGCCATATCTAGCAATATTAGCTAAGAGCATATAGCTAATCATTTGACAAGATTACCACCTGATTATCATAATGGTAAAGAAACTAGTGCTATGCAATCAAAGGTGTTGTAACCCATAAAAGCCTTTTCAAAAATGGTCTTCTACTGCAGCATAACTGGTCACCTCAGAAAAGGTAGAGCCATAACAAAGGTATAAATCCCTAGCAGTCAAAAGGGTTAATAGATTTCCCTCCCCCATATGTTGTCTATACATGTTGGATCAGTTTGCTGCTCGATTAATTAAGATGAACCTGTGGTACAGTTGAGGAATACAGCACTTAAATACATGCTTTGGAAATGTCTAATTGAGTAATGACTGCCGTATGTAGGTGGAAAATATTTGCATTTACTTCTAGAAAAGCTGTAATATCCTTCAAAGCACGTTTTTATCAAAAATAATGTGTGCAATTTACAAGAACTGGAGATATAGGCAGTTACAGAAAAAACACAAATCTAATCTGTAGGAAGAGATGGAAGGACATACAATGCCAATTCTGACCCATCCAAACCTTGAAGATTTAAGGGGATATGACACAGAGGGAGGAGAGTAAATTCTTCAACAGATTAAATCTCCCTGAGGCTCAGGAAAACCAGAACCCAGGTGGAAAGTAATTATGGGATAAACAGGGGAAAGAACAACAAGCTTTCAGAATGTGCTGGATGAGTAATTAATATGAATGCGAAGAGATGTTTTTTTTACGGAGACAGCTCCAGGGTCTTGGTGCATCTGGAGCTATCTTCTGCCGTGTGCTACCTCAAATTCCTCCAGAAGGAGTGGCTCATATAATAAAGGCAACAGACTCTGCGGAGTCCATCTCTTGAGAGCTTCAGGTGAAACTGCTTATTAACCTTACTAGCCTGACACAAAATACTGAACATTGGGTTTCATGGGTTTTCCCAGAATTAGTAAAACGGTCATGCCCAACTTCTTACACAGAATAATCTGCAAGGACTCAGTCTATGGAATAAGAGCTTCCTGGGAACAACCAGCAGCATCTCTATCCAACAGAAGAGCAACAAGCAGAGAACTGCAATCCCCAGCTAGAATCTGACTGCCACTGGGCACCTCACAACTCTTTATATTGTACAGTAAAATAAAAATATTTGAGCTTGCATGACTTTCCCTCTGAGTTTTCTTTCCTACAAAAAAATAAAAAGCACAAGAGGAAATGCTCACTAGAAGCATTGTGGAAGCTATAAAAGCAGAGGATGTAATATTGTACTACAAACGCTAAAATAGCTTTGTATCTTGTCCCCCCTCCCCCCTCCCTAAAGATAGCTCTAAATGACTCCTTAAGCATTTTAAAAAGCACATATCTGCCATGATTATGAATACACCTTATCTAGGTGTCAGAGTATGCATTTTGGAGAAAAGAACGGGAAATTGTCATTCCACACAAAGCAGTGTAGAATCAGTATGAAACAGGCACCAGTAGCCTGCAGAATAAAAGACAACATTATAAATTGTCAGGAAAATGATATGGATGGCATTTTAACAACATGCCTCTAGGTGACACTGCACATGAGTTAAATACAGATTTGTCAAATTTAACTGAAAGCGTTTGGAAAGGTCTGCATATGATGGCAGATAATTTCCTGTAAACGAGTAGTCAGCTTTAAGATTTATTTCAGTATCTGATTTGCAGAAATGATGAACATTTACATTTCAAGAATTTTATTGCAATAAAGTGTGTAATACCGAGCAGGTGCCTATACCTACAGACAATAATTTGATTGCTCGGTCTGTAATCCGTTTATGCAGTCCTGGTGGCAGCTCTCATGTTCTTTAGAACAGGCCTGTACTCACTTCCAGACCTTGATGGCCAGGATCCTCATGGTTTTATTAATTCCCTAATTAACAAACGTATTAAAGTCGAGCTCCAGAAAAACAGCTGACTAAAGCTGCCCATACACCTTACAACCATTGCACGACTTTTGTTGTGCGATGGTTGTAAGGTAATTAAAATTTCGTATGATCTGCCCATCTTGGACAGGCAGATCGTACTTGCGATCATCGCAAGCCCTCCCCGCTGAGGGGAGGGCTTCCGATGATTGCAGCGCTGAGCGGGCAGTGCGCGCTTGCGCACACCAGCCCGTGTGGCATTCGTCTTCCGATCACGCTGGAAAACCTGCCGAAAATCGTACGATTTTCGGCAGGTTTTCCAGGGTGATCGGAAGACAAAAGTCGTGCGACCTTACAGTAGAAGAGGTCGCACGCTGCTCATACAGTAGGAGCGGTCGCACGCTGCCCATACACCTGCCGATTATCGTACGATCGCGGGATCACCCGTGATTATCGTATGATAATCGGCAGGTGTATGGGCACCGTAAGTTGAAATACCTATGGGTATTGTATTACTTGCACCAAAGTATTTGTAATTCTTTTTATTAATCTTGTAATTCACACAGCCTTGCCACACTGCATAGCCATGCTTCCTGCGTCACCTCTCTGCACCGAACCGGCTTATTGGGCAATGACTCAGAATTATTACACTGATGGTTCATTGACCAATGGACGGTCAGGTAACCCAGAAGGCAAGACATCTGAACAGAAGTAGCAGATCCATTTTCCTGCTCATGCAGAGTTTTGTGAAACCCAAGCTTGGCTTTGCAAAAAAAAAAATTTGAATCTTCACCAAGTCCCTATGTATGCATTTCAGCTGTACATCAGTTTAAAGCAAAGCAACAGATTTGTTCTCTAGAGAGACAATGACAAAGTTTCAGGAAAACAACTGCTGCAGGTATAAAGTGTATCCTCCAAAACATCACCACTATGGCCAATAACAGCTGCTCTGACAAGAAAAGCTCTGTCAGTTTTTGGTAGGGTCAGAGCTGCTACTTCCAGCCCCTCACACATTTCTGGCCCATCATTATGTTGGGCAGTCTCTCTGGCCAAAAAGAGTGTGCATGATGCAGGAGGAGCGAGTACAATTTGGCACTATCAGAGGTCAGGATGCCAGTAACAGGAGGTATGAGGAGGCTGTTGCAGGTAGGGTTTTTTTTTTAATGCTCCTCTACTCAGTCCAAAATTAAAAGAAAACATTTTGGCTGGACATGCACCTTAAAGAGTTTTATTTTCTCAACACCTTACATTGCTTCTTTTTTAGATTAACACATTAATTGCTAATCTTTTCACTCTGCCATCACCAATTCTAACTTAAAAAAAGATGGTTCTCTAGTGTCCGGGACATGGTTTTTTTCGCTCACAATTGTACCAATACTGGTTGTACAAATGTTGAAATTTCTTCTTGTTCTTTTGTATGAACATGTAATATGTAAGGAATTAATCTCTTGTAAAAAAAATTATAACGGTTCTCAAAATTATAGGGGGGGCAGATTACTTGGTTAACCAATACAGCTCTCTCTAGGCCTATTGGAGAAATAACAGTGAAGGATAAAAAATATTATGTTCATCTTCTAGATTTCTGAGCTCTTCCACAACAAAAGTTCTAGTATTTAGAGGGAGCCATTCCTTAGTGCGAGCATAGCCTTGTACATCAACTACAGAGCGGTTACCACATGAAGCATCTGAAACAGAGTTACCACACTGTGACCACATACAAATGGCATCTGGTTAGGTTTAAAAGGCATATCCAAAACATATTCAAACAGTGTGGAACAAAAGTGACACCAAAAATGCCCTGGACATTAAGTGGTTTGTTTTTCTTACTTGGTGAATAGCACAGAATAGTCTTCATAAAACAGAAGCTGTTCACACGTCTCATTCCTTCACATATCCCAAAAATAAGAGGATTATTCCTCATTTCTGGACAGTGGGTGAACCCATGCAAATCATTGCTTTACTCCTCCCCTTGGCCATATGCACATTCAGAACCACTGTGTATACTGCAAATATTGCCCAATATTACAGCGTCAGGGCATTTTGGTTGCATTAGTCCCTTCTTACTATAACCTGTGTGGTTATACTATCCGGCTACTTGATGTATGCTAACCTAGCTGAAAAGTCCAAAGTGTGGTGACAGTTAAGCGTCCATTGAAGGAAACGCACGCTAGCTTGCACGTCACAAATGTACTTTTCATCATCCCTTTAAATGTTCTCGTCACCAACATTCGCAATAGAAGTTTCTCTCAAATAAATGTAAACAAGTTAATTCAGTATTAGGTTTGCTTCTTCCCCGATAATATTTACAGCATAGCAAATTAACATTCTTAGCATGTAACAGTATTCCACTCTGTACCCTCCAGTATTAGGATCACGGTCTGACTTATCCAGAATGTGAACGGATGGGAGGTTTACTCACATTGCACAGCAGTCTATGGCATTAGACTGCTAACAGTCTCTGGGGTATTCAAGGTGAAAGTTGTCAGGCTATGAACTATAAAGCACTGCGGTCTCAGTAAAAGCTGAATATTTTTTGCACTAGTTCATTATGTGAATAGGATGGGTCGTGCCTTAACTTTTACTTGTAATCTATGTCTAGAACTGCCAAATAATGACACGGAAGGCACCAAATGGCTATACGATATGGAGAGTCCCAGGCTTTTTTTCTGAAGGTCTGGATACAGCACAAGGTCGGTGCCTGCAATTGAATAACACAAGTTACATAAGCCATGGCAGTAGCTACTTACTTTCTGCTGCACTGAAGTACTCGGGATTCACTGATGCATACAGCACTCCATTTCCTAGTCGGTCACTGTTCCTGTGAGGATGCAAAAAGTGACATTTTTCTGATGTGCATTACAGAATCTTATTACTAAATTCTATATAGGAACAAAATCTAGAATGGGCCATGGTTAATCACTGATTAATACAATAAGGCAGATATTCTAATTAACTCTGAAGGGTAGAATTCTTAGTATTTTTAAGGTGCATCACAGTGGGTATATGTGTTCACAAGTATTCAAGTGTGGACAAGCAAATTACCGGCACATTGCTTGTTTAGTTTTCATTGATTTTAATAAGCATACTCAGGCACCGTTTAACAGCCGTCGCATTTCCTTTACAGCCAAGAAAGTGTACATTTTTCAAGAAAACATTTCTTGTGAAATATGATGGTGACTGTAACTGATCTGAAACCAGAATTAGCATAGCAATTGTTGTGCATGATATAGATGCCTCATGATTAGGCCTTGGTTAATGCAGCTTAGATTCTCCTTGGGACACCACATCCTACAGTTCACTGTTCTATTTAACGCTTAAAGTTATCATTCTTAAGATTTCTAAGGTGTCCATATAAATGTATTAGAAAAAAAATTATGTTTTATATTTTTAAAAAATGGCTAGACAAGGGCCAAAAGAAAAAAAGTTATTGTATACCAACTATAAGGCCGCATTCACATGAACAATGACATACTGTACATAAAAACCATGAAGGTTATTCAAATTACAAGAAAAGAGGGAGAGACTCTCTCTCCCTTTTATTTCAACCTCCTCTGAAGATTGAGCGATATTATGGTCTGGTGAACTGCATAGTTCTTGTTGTAGATAATTACTATTACTATGGTTTGACTACATAAATGTATGTGAAGGGAGTGGGCACAGGATTTATGAGGAATTAATATTGATAAGATGATTGTAACCATTACTACCTTAAGAGCAATATGTTGTTTTTAACCACCTTCCGTCCATGGCTGTTCCTGAATGGCCGGACGGGAGCCTCATAGGAGCGGGAGGGCGTCTTAAGACGTCCTTCCCCGGCTCGTGCGCGACGCCCAGCGCGCTCACGAGTGGGGATACTTGTGAAATGTAAACAGCCAGTCATGGCTGTTTACATTCAAGCGGTCGGCTGTCTCTAAAGACGCCTGATCGCTTGTAGTAGGTGAGGGTGTGCGGTTCCGCCTATTGTGCCGCACATGTTACATATCGCCGCGAATGTCGCAGCGAGAGCAATAATGTTAGGGCCATTAATTACTGATAACAATAAACTGATGAGCGTTAAAAGCTTTTAAAGCATCGCCTATGGCCAATTTTGGGTGTGGTCATTTTCTGCGATTTTGCGGATGCGCAATTTTAAGGCTTGACATGTTTGGGGGTCTATTTACCCGACGTGACCCCGTCTTTTATATTTTACCACAAATTTGGGGTGATAATAAATGTTTCATATCATATCATAGGGAAACATGATTTTTCTCAAAATTTAGGGTACTTTTTCATTATATAGTAAAAAAATAAAAATAAAAACCCCAGTGGTGATGAAATACCACCAAAAGAAAGCTCTACGTGTCACCACAAAATGGTATAAAATTAATTTCAGTACAGCGTTGCATGAAGGAATAAATGTCAAAGTACCGCAGCGCTGAATACTGAAAAAAGGCCTGGCCAGGAATGGGGTATAACGCCCTGGTCCTTAAGTGGTTAATGTACGTGTAAACAATTTCAAAACGTCCCTTTTCTTGTCATTTGAATAAATTGTATGGTTTTTATGTATGTCATTGTCTGTGTGAATGAGGCCTTATAGTTTGGGTACTTGTGGTAATGGGAGTCATTTGAACACCACCGGCTAATTATAGAGAGCAGTTGACGATCAGCATATTAAAAACACAGCTATTTGCACGTACGGCTCCTTATTCTCTCATTGACAATATAGTAACAAGTTGATGGGAGAGGAGGTGAATCTGAGTAAAAAGACTCCGTCTCTTCCTTATGTTGTTACAGGCATGTGGAAGAGATGTTATTGTTGTTACTAGCCCTGCTAGTAAAAGGCAAATCCTGACATGAAAGGAAACTCTTTCTATGTAATAAATATTTACTCAGCAATGCATTAGGTTTGTTGGTCAATAATGCAAACCTAAATCGTTCACAGAGCAATCTGCCTTAAAACTAGCACAGATTTAAACTTTCCCTTTGATGTTAGGAGCAGCCATACATGTAACTGTAAAAATAAAAAAATGGTGCTCTGTTGCCATGTGCATGCACGCATGCATGCCCAAACAGATCCACTACTTTCTATTTTAATCCTGTAAAATACTGGTAGTTCCAAGGAGTAATCATAGACAAACATAACCTTTTCTCGTAACTTCATACTTAATCTCCCTTTTCAAAACACTGGTCACAGTCACAAGGTAAGAGAAAAGGGAGATAAAACCAAAACAAAATTCACAAAACTTAAAATTAAAATTAGAACGGCACCTTGGTTAGCTTTACATAAATAAAGGAAACCATGGAATTAATTCCTCTGTCTGCCTGTATACAAGTGCACACAGGCCCTGCACTACTAAATGACATCAACATTGAATGCAAGAACCTGAATCTTTGAAGAATCTTCTAATGGAATTGTCTTTGTTTTGAGTGCAACACTATTTTTATTATCTGTATGAGTGTCCTTATACATGAGCCAGGACTTCTCTAGAGTCTCTCCCATCCTCCGGAATTCTTTACCCCAACCTGTCCATCTATCTCCCACCTTGACTGCCTTTAGGCGATCCCTAAAGACTCATCTCTTCAGGGAACCCTACCCCACCACAACCTAACTGCTCAACCATCACATTCTCAAACAATTCATCCCCACACAGCTACCTCCTCATGTATCACTTCCCCCTCCTCTTTTAGATTGTAAGCCCCAGGGCCCTCCTTACCATCTTGTCTTAATTGTATTATGATTGCAATGTCTTCCTTATATTGTAAAGCGCTGCACAAACTGTTGGCGCTATATAAATCCTGTATAATAATAATAATGACCCTTCTAAATCACGTATTATAAATCCACAGTCTTACCTGTTTTTGGTGACATAGCAGGCAACAGCAAAGATGGTCACGAGTAATAAAACTATAGTGACTGGAAGGACCACAGCCAGGTGCATGAGGTTGTCACTCTCAAGAGCTGCACAAACACAAGAAAATGTCATAGTCAGCTTCTAAAAGGCAGACAGAAGCTAGTCTTCATTAAAAATCCATCTTTGGGCAAGACAGAATCAACAGCGGTGATTATTAAACGATTGCATCTTTATTTTTAGGTGGGTCTGACTACGAGCCTTAATTAGCCTAAATGGATGACCGTGAACACACTGCAAAGCATAGTTACAAAGAGGACAGTTATCACCTACTGTCCAGGAATGAGCACTATAATATAGGCGATCACACCTGCTCGTTCCGTGAAAGCACACAATGTTTGCTCACGCTTTGTGCTCGTTCATGTGTCACGTGTCCTCATTGAGTTCAAAGGGGCCTGCATGCATGACAAACACTGCAAAAAAGCTCATGTAACAATTTTGCGAAACGCGTTTGGGATGCCATTGGAAATTGATGCAACATTGACGTGTTTTCGTCAACGCGCACGAAAATGTGCACTTTTTTGCACGTTTACGGAATGCGCAGGGGTGAATGCAGGCTTAAGGTTTGGTTGGGTTTTAGGGCTGTGGTCACACACACAACGCAATACAGTATGTGCATTTGATACAACAAACTGAAGCATTTTGCACAGAGGCCAACAACCAACTGACAACTAGAACATCCAAGGATCCAGAGTGCTGGTTATAGTATATCTTTATTTTCAGATACGGTTGTTCTAATATTTTGCTGACCAGTGGTCAACAGTTCCCACAGAAATAGCAGCAATCCTTCTACCATGTCCTGAACACAAAATGCTGCTGGCCGAGATTCAATCCAGCAAAGGCATCTCCCTATTACTGTCATTCTCTAGAAGAGATTTTACCTGCGTATTCCTATCTCTAATGCCTGGATAAAACCCCAAAAAATGAAAATCATCAAAAACTAACCTGCAAAATTGCTAGCAGGCACAATAGATAGAAATCTGTTTTTGAAAGGGTAAAGCAACTCAAATTTTATATCTGAGTAGATGCCACCAGTTTGCATGAATTTCTGCTTTTACCATCTGATGAAGATCCCATAACAAAAAGGTATCTGTACAGGAACTAGTTACCTTTTCAATAGTAAGACGGTGACCATTCTAAAGTTTATTTCTTGGTCACACACAATTCCTGCTAAATTATCTACTAGTAAAGGAAGTATGCCTACGCTGCACAGGTCAAAGAAGATCAAATAAACCAGCAACTAATTCAACCAGCTGGTATTTAAAGTATTTTCTAAAGACCAAACACTTTAGCTTATTATTGGATAGAGTGGGGAAGGGTAAGAACCTGTGTACACTTTGTACTGCAAACTGTGTCCCTACTGGGAAGATTTACCCTTTCTCTTAGTTCTGGTCACCAATGTCAGAAAAACAAATCTAAAATTTTCAGTGGTCACCTTAATAGGAGATGCTGGGAAACCCTCCAAATGGGTCACCTGTTCTGGTGACAGCTTTGAGATTTCTCCTAAGATTTCCTGTTGTGTCCACAGGACAGAAGGAGGAATTTCCACAATGGGACTCAAAGGACAAAATAAAACCTGACAAAGTTTAAACCTTTACCTACTCTATCCAAAATATTAGCTTTAGAAACACTAGTGCTGGTTAAACTTTCAAATCTTCAGGATCTTGAAGATGAAATGTCCAGCTCCAGGGCTCATGTTCTTCTCACAGATATGGCCATCATGTACCCTTTCCTTGCCTCCAATATTGACTACAAACTTGGTATATAATAATGGTATATAATACAAGTTACAACCACATAGTTCGGAATAGGGGTGGGGTGCAAAGCCTGGACCTCCAGGGAAAAATCATTAGGATTGACAAGAAACTGAAAAACATGACAGGATAAACAAGCAAAAAAAATGAATCTATGTGTACGTTTACTTGCAAATGAGTTACCAGCTATGGTGTAAAAGATCTCCGGCATGTAACAAAAAATAGTAAATCCATGATTTTAGTTGCCATGTATAAAATGTATTATATGCACTCACTGCTAAATAGGCCACTTACGTCTCTCCTTTACAAAGAATGACACCAAATCCGTCCAGGAACCATTTCCAGAGAGCGAAATGGCGCGCACCTGCGTAGTATAGTTGCCGGCGTTAAGCTGTGTGTATTTGGCACCTCCCAAGTTACTATAGTCTTGTCTGGAAACACATTTTTTGATGCGTTGCTGAGGAAACAGCAAAGGAAAGACTAAATTCAGGATAAAAAAAAAAATCACAGCAGACAGCCAGAAGAGTACACGAGAAAAAAAAAAGATAGAACTCTATAAGGGACAGAAATGCACATAATCTGTGAGGCTAGTTTTCTCAAAGTGATCAGAAACCTTTTTGGAAAGGTGCAATGTTTAAGCATACTATAATCCATAGCATGTGGCCAATAAACACAAGGGACCTTTTAACATAGCTGCACTTTTTTGTTCCAATGCACCACGATGCACAGACATCTGTCTGCTGGGGTGCACTAAAGTGCAATTCCATTGTAGTGCGTTGTGGATGTGCATGGGGGCGATATTCAAAATAAATGGTATTTTAATGCTTTGCACCATGGTTTGTGGATTACAGCAATGCAAAGTTGTACATCTGGTCTAAATAAAAGCAATACTACGTGTGAGAGCAGCGGCTATGTACAGTGGTGCAACATGTCCCCTGTTAAGTGACAGCTACAGCAGTGCAATAAGAAAATTTGAAGCTGCCTGCTAATTGCACTACTGCGCGCAGACCTCTGATCTCACACAGCAGGATGTACACTCACTATTTCATGCAGCCTAAGTTTATTGGTCATCCTTTTTAAAATGTACAATAAGACGTTAAATAATGCAAAACCTGAAGCCGCAACATGACCAATGCAAACACATTCTCACATTTACTTGTCCATTCTGCAGAAAACACTAATTTCAGCCTATCATGTAAAAATAATGACTAATATGATTAACAGACCCCCAACTTCATGAATACTAACATCTGCCTAATCCCATGAGAGTCCTACATGTCATCTACTACCACAGTCAAACACTGACAGCAAGTTCTACTTTCATCTTGAAAGCATTAGGTTGAGGGTCTTGAAGAAAATGCCTTTTCTGAATTGAATCTCTTTACAGTACATGTGCACACCACCTACCTCACCCTGCTTGAATTCAATCTCATACATCAGAATAAGTCCATTGGGATTAGGTGGCTCTGGCCACTTTAAGATGACTGCGTTGTCTTCTTCTTCTTCAGAGATAACTGCTCCAGGTATATTATCAGCATCAGCTGAAAAGTACAATATTGGGATATGCTTTCAGAGTTTTGCATCATGAAAAGGGATCACATTCAAAAATACTGTGTACAGTCTACAGGCTGATCCTAAATTATAGGAGTGGTTTGCTTTTAGTTCAGTGCATCCTGACATGTCCTCTCTTCATCTTCAACACTGATCTGCTAAGGAACGTTGGATAGTAGGAAACAGGAGTGTGCTGAAAATCAAGTGTAGGTCAAGCCAAAAAATGTTTTCTTAGTTTTGGATAGAGTGGGGAATACCCTCCCAGCTCTTGTCCTGTAGACAACATTTTATAAGACGGGAAGTGAGGGGAAACGCTGCAACTTCAACAGAGAGAAAAAAAACACACCCCCCCCCAAAAAAATGGTCCAGCAGCCACTTACCCCTTTCGCTCTGGCGTCCTCACGTCTAAAACAGTGTATTAGAGGTGATGACTCATGGATCTCTAGACCGACAGAGCGCAGGGGGAAGAGAGGCTGAGGGTTCCAGTCTACCAGACAGGCGGTACAGAGATTCAGGTGAGTATATATTTTTTTATTTTACACCCTAGACCAAAACGAGCACTTAACCCTTGTAGTGCAGGGGTAGCCCCACTGTAAGAGTTAAGTTTTCTTCTGCCCATAGTTCTTCTTAAACCCTTTCCCTGCTACCGACATATGGCATACATCCGAAAACAACCGCTTGCAGCTGGCGACGTCAGTAAGCCTTACACCGATGGCTTTCTTCCTTCTGCTATAAGCTTATGGTCGCTTTGACGACCATGAACTTATATCACAAGGGTCCCCCCGGCGGTCCCCTGTAAAATAATAGCCATCATCAGCTATTGTATGGGCGCCCATATGGGCTCAGGCAGCGGGGGTGTTGGAGGAGGGAGCCGCTTGTCATGTTGGATGGCCGAGCGGTGTGCAGAGAGGATACGCTGGCTGTCAGATCCTGGCCGGCGGCTCTGTGATCTGCATGTGCTTCAGGATGGAGAGCGGGAGGATCGGTAAATATCTGTGATATTTACCGACCGTCTTTGTGCAGAACAAACACTGGAGTGATCAGCTGATCACTCCAATGTTTGTAAACAACTGGGGACACATAGTACTGTGTGTCCCCAGTTATGAATGAACAGAAAGTGCTTTACATGACTTCCTGTTCATTCATGAGTTTCTCAATGGATGGAAGCACTCAGTATAGAGGCTGCCACCCATTCATAGCTGGATGATAGTAAATATCTTACGATCTCCAGTTTCTGAATAAATGGGAAGCCTCTGTACTGAGTGCTTTCCATTAATTTAGAAAAAGAGATTGAGGACTCTGCGTCCTCAATTTCTATATCAAAAAGGAAATGTCAGGGGTCCTTTTAGACCCTTGATATTTCCAGGAAGTCCCCCCCAGAAAAAAAAAAACACTCTCCACACACACACACAGATAACATACACTTACACCATATTGTGGTGTACGCCATGCACATAGGTGCATTGTTAGAACGCATCCCAGCAAGATTTATTTTACTTTAAAAAAATAGTAATTTAACTGGGTGGCAGCGCATGGCAAAGCGTTGTGAAACACTGTGTTGCGATTAAATGTACGTCTGTATTATTTTATCACAAACACACATTAATGCAGCAAACAATTTTTAACATTAGTCGCTTATTTACAGTTTTGTCATATTTCCTTTTTTTACCGTATCGCAAAAAGGCGCAATTTAAAATTTACAAATATTTGTTATTTATTAACTCAATACAGTTTTATCTTTTAGATTTGGAAAAGTATTTTTTTTTTGTGCGCTGATGCTGATTTTAGTGTGCTTTTATCATTTGAATTGTGTATTTTTATCGTTTTAATATTGATTTGACAAACATTTGCGCAATTATCGCAGGACTTACAAAATTAGTAGTAGTACCATCTTTTTATTCTACTGGGCCTGTGCTTTCAGAAAATATATGGTTTACAAGCGCTAGCAACGCAGCAGTAGAAAAACAATGGGAAAAACTGCTAAAATGGTGTGGCCAGCTGAGGTTTTTAGTGTTCCGAGGGCTTGGCAGCGAAAGAGTTAAAGCTGACCTGTACAGGACAATAATAAGCAAACATGGAGGACATGGCCTGCTCCAAAGAGTGATTTTAGGGTTATTGGCTCTCTTTGGAGGGCTCCATTCTGAACTCTTATTCAGTTATTTAAGTAATGCTTATTAACAAAATATTCTCTTGAAATAAGATAACGAATAATATCACATTTGGTTATAAAACACCACACTAACTTCAACTAACCATAACAGTTCTAGCAAACGCATGTGCAACCGGAGAGTCAAACACCTGGACTGTACTGACCACTGAACGCTAGTGCATGAGAATAGTGGGCTGGTAACAAAAACTCTGAAGTACTAACCTGCAGGCATGGTTCTGGCAAAGACAAAGTTAGATGCGCTGCAGCCAAGCTTCTCCGCTGCATGGTTGCAGCTATGGATATCAATGCGGTAGAGAGTGAACGGCAGCAGGTTTGAAATAACTGTCCTCTCATGCTTGTAGTCCACTTTTGTTTCATAGAATGGATACTCCTTTCCCTTCGGTTCAGAGTCAGACACGTTCGAGAAGTCTTGTGTGGTGCTGTTCTTGTCATCTCCAGACAGTGTTGCATTTGCCGTACCAAAAACATCACGTCGTCTACGATCCGGTCTACCAAGGATAACAGACAAAACAAACGAATTAGTGATTTCTGACCCTCCACCTCACATGCAGCTATAAATGCTGGGGTATGTTGCTGCCAATTACATTACCTTTTTCTTGCCTGCACACTACAGTGGCCCCCTACAGTACCTGATCTTATGGGTATGAGGTAAGCTTATGTATTTCTTCTACTCTGCCACAGCATTGTCAGGTGGGGGCGTGCCTACCAATATGCAAATAGTGACTACCAGAAAGGCTGCATTTGTGTATGATTTTTTCAGAGGCTGTAGCAATGTTTATGGGTAGGAATGAAGACACTTTAAAAGGTAAGATGTGGCACTGAAAGATCCTTCTTTGCATCTACAGAGTAACTTTGCATTTAATGGACACACTGGGTATACTTTAAAGCGGTGGTCCTCAACCTGTGTAACCTCAGGACCCACATTTATCTTTGGTCATTAAGTCGCGACCCAAGTCGCACGGTATTAGGGTACCGCGCTCTCCAGTGCGGGCATACGAGCTGTGAGTGGGAGGTGAGTTTGGGGTACCATTCAAATGAATAGCAATGCAACACACCTCCCACACCAGAATGCACGGTAGGTATGATTGCGTGGTACAGTGCGTTAATCGCACGGTTCTATGCGATTAATGCACTGTACTAGTGTGAATGGGCCCTCAAAAAAACTGACATACATACACAGCCACAATCTCACACACTTAAAACATACACATTTTTCACATGATTGACTTTTCATCAAGCTATCCCAGAGGAGAAAACTACCAACTTTCATTTTGTTGTCTCCTATGGCAGCTAACAAAGCAATAGGCTGCACAACAAAATAACATCACCTTTGTGTCTGTACAAATGTGGGTACTTTTACACACACAGCTGTGAATGTTATCAGCAGTTCTTTCACATGATGCAATTACTTTTCACGTATAATGTACTTTCAAAGCAGCAAAAAGCTGTGCAAACACCAGAAATCAGTCACTCTGTATGTCTGCAAAGAGAAAGAAACAAAGAGCCCCTCCTCAGCTTAATAAGAAGGGCAAATGAGGATCACCTGTCTGCCTACATTTACTTCCTCTTCCCTGTAAAAACAATATTCCTCTAAATCTTCAGACAAGCTTGGGCAGGGTGAAGTCATAAGCCATCCAGCACTTACATTCATCATAAGGTAGTGTGTATCCTACCGACTCCTCACCAAAGTTGAAGATAAATAAGGGCGGAATTGCTCTCAGAAAGTAGCTAAGAAATGTGATCTACTATTAACAGGAACTGCGATGAGTGATGAATTCACTTTTATCTCTTCCTTAGAAGTTTCACAAACACTCTGCATTCAGCTGCCATTCACATGGGATATTTTGAAGGGCAAAATCTAAATTCTTGCTGGTGTCGTGTTCAAAGCATTCAGTGATTGAAACTGATGCTTGAACAGTCTCATCTTCCTGGAAAAGGGTCTGCTTAGTGTGCGAGTCTAAAATGTTATCGGGACTGAAACTTTATTGGAATGTTTGTTACATGATAATGATTGTAACGCACCAGCAAATACTGTAAAAATGATGAAAAAAAAGATTACAAAATACAATTCCAATTGAGACATTAAACTAGATGTTTAGTGTTTCCATCTTCAAAAGCAGAAAATATGTGTCATCGCTGTCAGTGGGGGACTTAATTTTAGGATGGAGACTGGAGGACAAGGCACACTATGAGAATTTTGCTGTAAACTCAGAGATGTATTAAAGTTTTGGGTGATCTTTGTCCCCCCTATAGACTCTCCCAGAGGATTGTTCACTGAAAACAGTATGATACTGAAGGCAAGGCTTGTCTTTTGATGTGAACTTACACTTGGAAACGGTGGATGATCACCGCTAAGGCTGGTATTCATTTTATATATACCGTAACACTGACATTGTTGGAGACTGTTGGCACTGATTGCACTTTATTATGCATGTATATTCACTGCACATGCTTCCTATATATATGTATTTATTTGCTGGCATAAGGTTAGAAGTTTTGTTTTTGGTGATCTATATTTGAGGGGGATTCTTGAGCTGTATATTGTTTATATAATTTACCATACACACATGCAGAACCAGGTGTGATAACTATCAGTGCTGGGCTTGACTTAAGACGAGGCCATAGAATACGATACAGTTGAGGCATGCAGCCGTCCGTAGTAGTAAATGGGTGTAGACAGCTGTATGTGGGTTTACACCGCTATCTGTGCAAACCCACACACATAAAGCAGACTAGCTGTACACATTTGGTATCACACAAGTAGAGGCAAAAACAGGGTGTACAGCCACCTACACCCATTTAATACTATGGGTGTCTGTACACCACAGCTGTGTATCAAGGGCGTGGAAATACGCCCGCAATTTATGCTCTATGGCCTAATGTGCCGGTGTGCATGAAACTGTTTCTGTATTGCTATCAGAGAGGCTGCCACTTCAGTTGAGTGCAAAGCACAGGGGATAGCTACAAAGAGGCAGTAGCCGCAGACTAGCAAAAACATGTTCAACACGGACATTTTAACTTGGGGCCCAGTTACTAAAGAAACCAACCATGACAACATCTCTGTAACAAAGTATAGTAAACAGTCTTTCACCCATCATGCTATTTCCTACCATCGTTTGCATGGAAGGGGTTAATGTGTTAACCGCAGGTAAACATGATGTCACACAGAACACAAGAAATTAGGACTTTCCATTGTTGTTCGACCACCCCCTTGGATAGACTTTTCCTCTCCTTGGGCTGCCTGTACTTGTCAGGTAGGATTAAACAAAATCCTGCTTCACATTCCTCCTGCAGCTACATCTTGCTTTTTTTTTCTCCTTCCTTTCTTGTCTACTTAGGCTGGGCAGCCTTTACACACATATGTATAGAGCTCAGGAAGCTGTATTTGTAAACTTTTGTTTTTAGTTTAGGCATAGTTAAAGTCAAACTTCAACCAAATATTACAGATGTGTCGGATGCCTGTGTCCTCCAATGCAGTGGGGTACAGAAGCACAGAAGAAGAAAGAAAAAGCTGGCCCCTATGTCACTACAGGAGGTATGTGGGAGTCAGTGGATGGAACTACAGCGCTCAGGAAAGAACGCGGGCATCTGACATTGTCAGAAGAGTGGAGAATGCTGAAGAGTCTGGCGGAGACGTGAACAGAGAAAAAAAATATAGGCCGTGCATACATTCAATCTCAGGAATGAAAAGGAGAATGTCTCTCTTGCTGTGGGGGCACTTGTAAATGTAATAAATGTATGCAGGGCCATGCTGTGTTACCTGGGTACAAAGATGGAGTTGTGTAGGAAGTTCTCAAACATCTTCCTGTACTCAGCCTCATCTTTTTCTTTCTTCTTCTGTGCTTCAGTTTTGGGGCAAGCACAGCACATATCGCCCTCCTTCTCTCGCCCTCCTCCAGAATCGGTCTTGGTGGGCTCCTTCCCACCCTCTGCATCAATTGTCTCGTTGGCATATTTTCGACTAGGCACTATATCTGAAAAAGACCCATAAAATCCGGACAATGAACACCAGAAACTCTCCCTTACGAGCTTGCCCTGCAAGTTATATTCTGATACATATAATCTATACAAAAAGGGCAAACAGTATCAGTTGCTAGAGAAAAGAATAAAAGACTGCTACGTTTTAGAAGCTCGTGAAAGTTAGCCAAGCAGATTAGATTTATGAACACATAATTACTGAAATAAATTATTATAAATATTATTCATATAGCTGAGCTTAAATCATGCACATACCATCAACCATCACTAAAAATAAATCAATACAAAAGCTATATATACACAACTCAAACTGCACCTCAATCTGACATATTATAATCCTTTGGAATCTGAATGTCAAAACTAGCTATTGGGAAGTATGTGTGGTATTCCACTACAGGTCTTTCAAAACTAAAGTGGAATTTAACAACTGCATTCTGTTGCATGCTGTTTAACTCTACAGGCTCAGTTCTCAAAGCTGTAACACCAGCCTAAGGCACTTTATTTTCAGCCATGTGACTGTACTTTTCAAATTTCATTGGGCTCAGTTGAAAAGAAGTGTCAATTTTTAAGAATAGGTATACTTAACCTGATCTAAGCTTTTGTGAATGGAGCCCTACATGTTTAAAACATAGTTGGATCTAATATAAGATAAAGAGTGTCTGCTGAGTGTACTCTGGTCTTATTTTCTCTGTAGAAAGGCATAGACAGTAAGAAATATCTGTATTAGTATAAACAAGTGTGTGCTTGCCTCTTGACCCCTAGTTTGCTGCTTTATGGGTCCAGATTTCAGTTCAAAACAACGAAAGTTCTAAACGTAGTGGAATACCATATACCAGCCAAACAAATACAAAACAGGAGGTAAACAGAATTACAAATATTCTGTTTTATGCAACACTGAATACCAGAAGTGTGGCACTATTATTCACTGTTGTAGCTCTGTAGCTTTCCTGTATTACCTGCTGGCTCAGTGGACTATGAAAGAGACCAAAATAAAAATGAGGCTCTTTCCATACTGTCCCCTTCCTGTAGGCTGCCATAAGATCTTCACATTAGGTATCAGTGCCTGGACAAATGTTAAAATTGACAGCAAAACTTTGAACAAAATGAAATAATGTTAAATTATAAAATGAACACAACTAGATGCAATAGTGCATTTCTATCAACCTGGAGCAACACTTTACAGAAACTGATTTCCACAGTCTTTCACACATCCCTAGCAGGCGTTTCTGCTATGTTAAAAATGTAAACTGTATCTGTGC